GCTCTGTGATTTTACATGCCTAACAAGCCTAGGTGCTTGATTTTATACACCTGTACATTGGAAGACCTGAATTAAATGATTTGGATAGGTGAAAGAATACTTTTGGCAGTATTGTGTAGCAGCTCTCACATCTCTCTCTCTCTCACACACACACGTGCGCACACACACACACAATTTATTAATAAAGTCTGTGTGATTAGTTTCAGGTTCACGCTCCGGTCACAGCTGGCTTTTTTAATACACCTGGGGTATTGCATGTCATGTTAAACATACATTATATCTTTGTTAAGAACAGTAGAAACTGATCCAACATGCCCCAATTTCTCCTTGTTTATCTGAATGCAAGTAGCTACCCTTTGTAACCAAAGAGTCAGGAAGTGTATCTGAAAGTGATGCAGGTCTGTGGTGGATATTTTTCAGAAACAGACACAGGAAACAATAACTAAAACTAAAACCAGGACAAATTGAATCTTGACATTTGCAAAATCATAAATAGCACTCATTTAGTGATCTTTAATTCCAAAAGGCAATCACTACCTTTAATGTAATGGTTGCACAGGAGATACTGTGAGCAGTGTCTAAGTACATAGCTTGTGCATCTTATTAACACAAGCAATTAAAAACGCCATCCTTTGAAGCAAGTGGTCGTATACAGTCAACATCATATACATTATAATAATGTGTAATACAGCATGCCTTCTTGTTCCATGTGTTAGTTTTCTTTGTAAGCTTTGCATTTTTGTATCACTTGGAAGCATTTTAAAACACGTTCTTCTTGCATTGACACTAGCCTAGAGCTTCACTTAATAATGTGAACAGTAAGATAAGACAGAGTGCATACACAGATAGTGACTACATTAACATGAGGCTAGGAGCGGTGTTTAAAACAGTATGAGCATCATAATATCACAGTATGATTTAAGCACGTTTTCTTTTTTCCCCTTAAAAGGTACACAGTAAGTACGAGACTATTTTATTTTGGGGGAATATTATCTGCTCAAACAGCCAATACGATGGCTGAAGCTGCAGCCGATGCACCAGTTCATTAAGGTGGAGTACTGGCAATGGCCATCAGAGGCTGACTGCACAAAAATCTCCAACTGCATAGAATTTCATTGATAATGTCCCAAACTGTCCAATCCCATGTTTTTCACATCAAGATTGATTCTCCAGAGCTAAAATCCTTCCTCCTGTTAAAATCCATCAAAAAGGTATTAAGGCTAGAATTGTATGTTTTGGACCACGTTTACTCGTTTGACAGGTGTCACAGCCTATCAGGTGTGTCAGTCCTGGTGGTTCCGTGTTCCACTGACGTCCATCTATTTGAATTTTCCAGATTGCAGGCGAGGGGGTAAACCCAAGTCAAATCAAGATCTGTAATGTCACTGCCACAGACAATCTACACCTCCTAAATATGTTCGTTTAAGGTACAATAACAAGGGCACAATGCACACTGACAGTAACAGCAGTCCCTTTTATACTCTCAAACCCATCGTCTCAAACCATGTTTCATGGAGAATATGCAATAGACATTCTTTCATTATGGCTCTCCTTCCATTCTATTTTCATTATTTTTCATTGACAACAGGTATAGTTACTGACCCCTCATTCAATACTTAGGAGACAATATCAGGCCCTGAGATGGTGTTAAAAGAGGTCAGACATTGTACAGAGACAATGGATAAGGTTGGGGATCATGCACAGACAACATGTGGCATGTTTTTAGTCACATATAAATGCACATTTTAAGAATCAATTTTTAGTAGGCAACATGACAACTAACAAATCATAAGAAAGTCAGGCCTTTATGTTTTAATGTTCCACACAGCATTTTTTTTTCCCCGTTTTCATATTTATTATGCTTGAGACACAGATGAAGTCACAACACCAAGTTGTACGTCTGTGTGTACACATAAGACCTCATTTAAGACACCTCCAATTCTGTCACTGACATCCAAACCTGATACTTTCATCACACATCTAACAGTGCCAGTTCTGTTTTTAAGTCTAATTTTTTTAATGCTAACACTTTTGAATCTGGAGAGAGATCTGCATCAGCTTATTTTTTACAATTTCGCTGGTTCTTTACAAACCACATCATCTGCATGGTTGGACACATTGGTAATTGCTGCCATGTCTAAATGTTTCTGGATCATTTCTAAAAGCTGGGCCCCATGTAGATGGTCAGAACAGTTTCTCGTAGCTCCGCCCATGCCAAAACTTTATATGTTTGTTTATATTTCATTTCAAATTCAAGTGAAAGTGCAGTGTACAAAAGAAACAGTGCTGACTAACAACTTGTAGTTGTATATGACATGTACTGTATACTAAGACAAAACAGAAAATACTTAGTGAACACTCCCTTTCCCACTTGGACAATTGAAATCTCTCCATGGGATACGTGTGTATCTTTATAGATTATAGCTGAGTACAGTACAATTGAGAAAAACAATGGACATAGCTGACAACTTTTACTATAACTTAACAATCATTTGTCAAAGAACAATGACAGAAACCCTTCCAGGTCTTGATTTATAGAAAGTAACATCTATGCCTCAGATCCATAGAGCCCATTGAATATGTGACCATTACTGTATATATCAAAAATGAAAGGTTCTGTCCTTGCTCAAGCACACACAGGAATAAGGGAGAGGCACTAATGGTGGTATTTAAAAACCCATCTGTAGGATCATGCAGAGTCTATCTTAATATGGAGATCTGTATCATGGGTTTTGTCATCCTCGTTCTCTTTGGTTATCTCCTGTATAAGCCCATTTTGCGGCTTGCAAGCTTCCACAAACAGTGGAAAATCCGACAAACTGGTGTTGCATTCCTTGTCTTCGTTTTCATCCTCTCCTTCGTCTTTTCTTCTTCCTTCATCTGTCGTAGGTATGCTGCAGTCAAAAACAGGTGTGCTATAACCGTACGCTTCACTATGAGGCCGGCGAGTTTCATCTGGGATGTTTTTCTTTAGGTCTCTATTCCTGTTACGCTTGGCTAGCTTGGTGACGGAGCCAAGGCGATTAAAAATGTTGTCCTCAGACATGGTTTGGGAGCTGGAGCGTCGGTCACACTGCTCGGCCTCTCGCAGTCGAAGGTTGTTTAGCTTAGTGTCGATACTTTCCTGGGAAGAAGTCTTATAGTTGGTGGCATCCAGACTGTTGAAGATGGCACGCCGTTCTGGGGAAAGCATGTCCAGGGACACAGCACGCTGGTCCAGGCCTAGCTGCCGTCTCTCCATGCTTCGGATGGTTGCAGCTCGCTGTAACTTGTCGTGGACTTCTATGCTCATGCGCCGGCGTGTCTCTCTGAACTCAGCTCGAACATTTGCTTTCCACTCAGCTGCATGAGCTTTGATCTCTCCAACCTCAGGAAAAGAATATTGTCAGATATAAGGTTTAGTAAATATACTGCACTAGGTTCCCTTTACCTTATTGTGTGCACCCCACCTGCAGAACCCCTGAAAACAGAATGTCTGTTTTCTTATCACATGGTAATCAGAAACATACTTCTCTGAGTACTTGGAACATGAGACAAATTAGATTCAAAACCAGTCACCAGTCAGAAATAGGTTGAACTGTAAGGATGAATAACTTTGGCAGGCAAAATCTGACTAAATACAAATGAATGTATATGACAGAATAAACAGCTGTATAGTAAAATTATGGCAACTTGGTGGCACCCAGATTAGAGGTTTGATGTGAAAACGTACCTCTTCTTTTGTCTTTTTGGACAGCACCCTCAGCCAGTCACTGATCATGTTCAACACTGCAGCAAAATAAGCCAGGCCACCCAAGATCCAGAACCACACTAGCGGTCTGTACCACTCCCGGTACTCAATTCTCCGGTCTCCACCTGATCAGGAAAAAAAAAACCTCCACTTTGTAACTGCCTGCAGGTGTCCTCTCCCGAACCTTTCAGGGATTGAAAGGGGGGAATTCATGTATTTTGTTTTATCTGTTTGTTCTGTAGTCACAAATTACATCAATGATTTTTAATGGTGAACACAACCAACACAAGCACAGACAAAAACATAACTGGCATAAGTATTTGTTATAGGAGCAGGTGTTTTTTTCTTTATTAGGAAACGTCACAACAGGACGAGGTCTTCATCCATTACAGGTAAACCTGTCCTTAATGGAGAATTGAGATTTCAGTCCAGGGCTGATTTTAATCTTTGCACAGAATAAAGACAATGCTATCTGACAGTTATAAAATATGTTGAATTACCA